GGCCGCGGCCCAGTAACGTCTGCGCTACTCCCCAGGCCCAGAAACACACCCCAAACCCCCAGCAGCCCCAGCTGCAGCCTCCGCTCGTGCCCCGAGGTAACAACCAGTCCCTCGCGGAAGGGCACGCGACTCGGCCGGCCGAGGTCACGGCGTGCTTTTTGAGCCAGAAACACCGTTTCAAGGGGCCCGGAAGGAAGTGCCCTCTGATTTTCCAGCTGGGAAACAGAGCCAGGGAAACGCTTTGGCAGAGGCAAACCGCGAGGCACCGCAGGAACAACCGTTCCTCCCCACCGGACTCCCTAACCGGCCACGTTTTACCTGACAAACAAACATCCTCGGAACCTTCTGCCTAAGACCCAGCAACGTTCTACACAGCTTCCGAGGGCGGTGCAACCAAGTGAGGAGAAGGAAAGGTTTCTGACCCAAAACTTACAGGAGCGTTCCGAGTGCCCTGGTGCTAAGCGCTGCTGAGCCAACCCGCCTCCCGGGGTAGGAAAAAGGTGGAGCAGTGAAAGCAGAAACAAGCAGAGGGGAGAAAAGAACCCGCAAGGCAGAAACCTCATGTTCTTTTAGGCCTGTAAGCGCAGCTAGAGGTTGCAAGGCTACAGTCCAGAAAGGATTGTCCTGAAGAAGAGAAAAAGGAGAGGAGAAAAGGGGGTTCATTCATTTAGCAATCATTAGGGTGGGTGCATGTCCAGCACAGAAACTGCAGGCTTACAGCTCCCGGGAAGGGTGAAGGGGATGCCACGCTCCCGGTCAGACTCGCCGCGAGAGGCCCGACCCTGCAGCTCGCCGTCAGCTGCTCGCGCACGGCTCACCTTGGGAGACTCGCCGGTGACGGTGACACGGAACAGGAACATGGACACGCACATCCCGGCCATCATGGAAAGCAGCAGCGCGTGCCGAGGGTTCCCGTAGCTTGACAGCCCCACCTGCAACGCGGGATGGGAAACCAGGGGTCAGAAACCAGCCGGGCTCCGGCGGTCTCGCGCTCGCAGCAACGCAACCCGCGGGGCCCCGACAGTGTTAGCGGGACGTGGTTTGCATTACGGACTGCCCACGGTCCAACCCTGCTCAGCAGCCAGCTCCTGTTCCCACCCTGAACTTCAGGTCCCACCGCTGGGCTGTAACAGGATTATCCCTTCGGCCACAAGGCAACCGTCAACACCAGATCTCTGCGTTCCCTCCGGAGCAACACAGATGCGGCGAGCGTGCTGCTCCGCCACCCGAGAGCAGGTGCTGGGGGGCACCAAAAATCACCTTTAAGCCCTCAGGAAGGAACCCAAACACAAATGCCAAAGTCCTGAAGCAGCTCAATCGATGCTGTGGCAACAGCCCAGCACAGCTGAGGGCCCAGGTTACTTACTCTGGCGACCGCTCTGTCGGAAAGGTATCCGGCTGCAATGCTCCCCACCAGCCCCCCGATCTCCAAGGCACTCATGTAGGAACTGCCTAGAGCGGAGGGGAAGCGACGAGGCCGTCAGGTCGGTCCCGCCGGCGAAGCTGCTGCGCGCATTAGACCGAGCCCGACTGCGGTGAGCTCGGAGCAGCTCCGCTGGACCAGCCCCTCCGGCTCATCCCCGTACGGGAATGCCCGAGGGCCAGTCCCAGGAGGGCTCTGGGGCACTCGGTGCCCGCGGTAACTTCGTCAGGGAGTCACTGCAGCAGCTCCGTGTAGCCAGACGGACGGGCAAGCACAGGGCCCCGCGGGGGGGGCTGCCTTCGTCCCCTCGCTGTTCCCAGTCACGCTCTGCCCCGCCTCGCGAACCGCAGCCAAACGGCCCCTTGGCATCTTACCCACAAGCACGGATTGGCCCCTCTCCTGGATGAGGAAGAGCTGTCCCCAGTCGGTACAGCAGGTTTTCACCCCAAAAACGACCAGGTAGCCTGTGGAGAGCACCCAGAGGTACGGCGAGAGCAGCAGCTCTGTCAACGTGCTGTTGTCGCTGGAGGAACCTGTGAGGAAGAGCAGGAGGAGCGTTACTGCCGCTTGAGCTCAGCTACGAACCATTTCTGCCCCAGGTGTCCAGGAACAGCCGCAAA